GCAACTATTTTTATTTAAAGGAGCTTTACTGCAGATGGACGGACGGAAATACAGTCACAGCTTAATCGATTTATCTTTTCACATTTGTCTATATATACATATCTCAATTCCTTTAGGCTGTTACAAAACAACCGTTATGTTAACAAAGTTATAGTACCTTTGTGAACAGGTCCGCTGGGGTATAAAAATACATAACATTCGAACAATTCGTTAACTCGAACAAATCTGGTTTTCATGAGTTCGAGTTATCGCGAGTACACTGTATTTACATATTCTACATACATATACATATGTATGTATGTCTATTTAAAGGATGTGTTTTTATGTAGCATTTGATCAAACTTTAAACGAGCGATATGCAAAATGGTATCAATGTTGGTGTAAGTCGGTATTTGTAACATTTCCGATCGCATTTTATCCACCTACAAAAAAAGAGAAAAGGCACATAACTGGTTGTGAAATTGCGAATGTAGACGCCCATCAAGCGGCCTCGAACACGCAAACGTTCCGAACAAAATTTTGAAAAACTGCAAAAGTGGCGAAAAAAGAGTGAATGATTTATAATGAAAGATGGCGAAAGCCAAGCGTGGTAAGCGAAACACCTAAAATTGGTCAATGTAAAATGGTGAAATGTGGCGCATACATTTATCTTCCGTTGAATGTTAGATACGTACATACGTACACATATGTACATATCTGCATACAATGCTAGTAATGGGAAATGCCATATTCGTACATACATGTGTATGTACATATATTCGATAATGTGGATAAAAGCAGTGACGTTGGGATAAAGCAACTGTGATCGGCGTTACGCCCCGGTGATCGCTTTGAACTTGTATTGCCGGTTCCGCCCACTGGGTGGGGAGACGTTGACTGAAATCGTTCAAATAAAGCAACGAAACAAAGCTGCAAATTGATATTGGTTATTGATTGAGATTGGTTAAAACACCGAGGCTGTCAACAAATAAGGCATGATGAAATAAATATAAGTTGAGCATCTTGCTTTTATGATCAAAATCTCATTGAGGACCTTTGCTAAGTAATGAGAATGGACATGCCTTAAAATCTCCGTTTTGGTCCGATCGAAAATCACCAGTACAAATCGCTGATTTCTCAAAAAGCTGAATAATTCTAATTTTTATATCATTTTTTAATTTTATATTATTCGCTTTAACAAAAACATAGATTCTGTATGTGATAAACGAACTTATAGCGCCCCTAAACCACACAAAATCATTGTGCAACCCGAGACTTGGACAAATCAATGTTGGGGAAAAAAGAATAATTAGAAAAAATTTAATTTTTTTCTACGCTCTTATCCATATTTTACAGCACCATCACCATCTAGACATCAAAATCAAAAATATACTAAAAATTGCGCAGTTGTCGCCATACGCAATACAAATTACTGTACAATAACACAATCATGAACAAAATACCAAAATGATTTTGATTTTAGTGCAATAATTGTGCAATTTAGTTCGAACAACCCCATATAACCCCTATAACAGCGGCGTATGCAAAGAAATTCCAGTTTGTATTTCCCTTATAAGAGTTACCAAATCAAACTCATAAATATCTACATATACAATTTCAAGACTTTAAATAATAAGGAAAAAATTATGTGCCTTTAAACTAGTAGTAGTAGTATTCATAGTTTTCACAAATTCATTTCTGCCGGCCAAAAGTATCAAAATGGGGCAGTTGTGAACAAAAAACTATCAAAGTATCAAATCTGAAAATTTAGAAAAAAAGTATCAAAAATGATACAATTGTATCAAAACGGCTACGCTGCTCGGGACCGTATTTTTTGACACTTTTTCATTTCCAAAATGTTTTTGGAATATACAACGAAAACCCGTATTTCTATAAAATTTTTAAAAGTTTTAATATAGAATAATAACGGTACTAGTTCAAGAGCGCAAAAGTCTCGCAAACTGGCAAACTGTGGAATTTTAAACCATCGCAAATGAAATGTCAAAATTGTATGGAAAGCCATTTGCACAAAAAGGGCAACTTTGCGCGGTGTGCTGTGCAGCCTTTGCAACCTGTGCCTTTCACTTTGACTTGTGCTCAACGCTTTTAACCCTGGAAGTGCTTCGCTCTTTTGACCTTGTCTGCGGGCTTTTAGTCGAAACGGCTAACACCAACTTTGAATAGTAGAAGTATTAAATACATATTATTTCCTCTGTTACATATAATAAACAAAATGGTAAATTACTTCAGAGAGAGGTACGAAGCGAAACACGATTTTTGTTAGTCGAATCGAATAACGAAGCACGTCCAGGGTTAAAAAATGATTGCAGTAGAACTTAAATATTTACCGAAATTCGCGTTTCAACTGTTCAACTTTTTAAATTAAATAGTTTTATCAAATAACTAAATGTCACAAATGCACAAAATATAAAAAAAGTCCTTATGAAACACATTGCACAAAGTTGCCCAATTGCACAAACTTAATGAGTTCCAAGAAAAGCGTACTTATTGATTTTTTCTAAAAAACTGCCACTCATTCCACACCTTTTAAGAGTAGTCTAATAACGGGCTAAGACAATGGCATCTATTTTTTCGCATTTTTAAATTAATGAAAAACTAACAAATTTTATCCAACTGGACGCCAAACTCTGCCTGCGTAAAATGAAATGCATTTATCAAAAAGACAATACATTGTAGAGGAAGAAATGCGCTACATAATTGCGTAATCAATTGTAATCGTTTTCCTTAAAATTTTTTTAAATGCTTGGGTCTCGTACATGGCGTATGAGTAACATTGTTTCCTGCTCATATCTCGTCAAAAAAAAAAAAAAAAANGAATTTCTTGCTCCACAATGTAGTATTCTTATTTTTTTGATTCATGGCGTTGAGTTAGGATAGTACTAAAATTGAATGGGCTAAAAAACTGCATACTGAAGTTTTTTCTAGAGAGCGTAAATAAAAAGTGCAATATTTGAATGAAATTTTCTTTAATTTTGCACAAGGTTTGGAACTGTGATTTTTGGGTTTTTGTTGTAGAATTAACCACATCAAAAAATTATCGAAAAATAAAATATTTAAAAATTGTTGCCCGTATTGTAAAAAATTCGCTGTACCTAAACTTTATTGACTGACTGTAGAAGAAAATGCCTAGCACTGTCACAAAAAAAAAATATATATCAAAAATCAACATGATTTTCTAGCGTCTTGAAATTTTCACTTTTACCTACCTAAATTTAATAATTTTAATTTAAAGAAACTATAAACATTAAACAAACGGAAGGAAAAATCCAAAACTGGTCGAAATGTCACTTAACTTAATGAGCTGACAACAAGGGTGTATATGTAGGTAATGGGCGAGTCCGTTTATGCTTATTTCTACCTAGGGCATCATTTAGTATTACCCTTCCTTCCCCTTTAAAATTAATTTTCGCTTGTTGTGATTCGATTTTACTTTCTTGAGATATATCAGTGTTAATGTGCAGTACTTGGGTATTATTTAGCTATGATGACTCATGCTTACGAAGTAATACTCGAGAAATCGAAATTGGATCGCACAAAACGAAAATGAGTTCTAAAGGGGAAAAGTAGTTCTAAATGGTGCCCTAAGTAGAAATGAGCAAACAAATTTGTTGTTCTCATAATATAACCTCAAATATCGGCAAAACCAGTGTTTTTGGCACTTTGAAGTTAGGATATTTAAAAATCCTGACATGCTAGAGCAATTCTGCGGCAAGATTTGGATTCAGCACCAGAAACGATATGTTTTACTCAGATGGTTGAAAAAAAGGAAAAACTTTTCGAACTGTGTTATCAATTTCATGTTTTTTTGTTTTCTTTTTCAGGGCAAATCAACGCATATGATGTCTTTTCAACTGTAGCCAAAAGAAAAAAACTGTATGCGTATAAAGGAAACCAGGTATGTGGAAAACTATCTCCTTAAAAAATTATTGTTTTATATTTTAATAAAAGTAAGTAAGCTTAAGATACGTATGTATGTAAATATATTTAATCTCATAACAGATATCTGTACCTTATGTTTATTTTCGCTCATACATACAGTTGTCCACAAAATAATAGAAGTGCAATATTTTGACCAGTCAAACAATTTTTCTTTTGTTTGTTTAATGTTTATTATTTTTTTATAAAAGTATATAAAGGTTATACAAAAAACACCATATAAATCCACATTTCAAACATTGTTCAAAAATTAAGAAAATTCGACAAATTTTCTGGCGCTCAAAAGTGAATGCATGCTGTTTTTTATTATTTGCAATGTTTTCAAGTTAACATTTTTTGTTAAAATATTATTCACGCTTTAGTCAAACATTAAACAAATTTTCATCTAAATTTTGAACTTTTCAATCTGGATTTTTGGAAAAATTTTGGGTAAGTGAAACTTGCACTTATTATACTATGATTTAATGGGCTACAAAACTGCATAGATAAATTTTTTTCTAAAGCTTCTAATTAAAAAGTTTTGAACATTTTTGTTAAACTTTGCGGAATTTTTATAATTTTGGTAAAAAGTTTGAAATGTAATTGATATGGTGTTTGTTGTATAACTACTTAAACTTTTATAAGAAAATAATAGACATTAAATAAACAAATGAAAAATTGTCAAAGAACACCAAACTCCTATTATTTTGTGGACAACTGTATATCTATGTATATCCATTAATATATTAAAATAAATATCTTATACGTACAATGAGAACTCATTTATTTTATGTGCATGATTAAAATTAGCTTATGCAGCTTAGTATTTTGCTTGGATTAAATGTGTCCTTCTTTAGGTAAAGTACTTATACATATATGTAAGATCATAAAAACTTACATATGTAATGCTTTCAGTTTTTTTTATGCACATATTTATACACACATATGTATTGTAAATAAAAGGATATCTCTCAGCTGATTAAAAAGAATTAATTGTAAAAAAACGGTAATTTTCATCGTCCCTTGGAGGATCTTCAGTTTACACGAATGCCGCCAAGTTAACTAAAGCTCCAGTTGCGGGCGATCTTCCCGAAACCGTATGGCCTTTTCTTTTCTCGAGAAAAATGTCACCTTATATGGCAACATTATCAGAGTGCAACATTTTAATGCAAGAGCATGCAATATGGATGTAAAGATGCTGAAAAAAGAACACGAAAACTTGACAGCCCGGTGACAGCGTTTCGAGAAAAACCGCTACTCTTCGGCTTCGCTATAATGTTTGTTTCTACTTTTCTCATCATGTTGCCCTCTGGCCGGACAAAAGTGCAACATTTTCTGCCCTTGTTAATGCGTAAGGGCGAGTGTTGCCCAGTAGATTTGGACTCCTATTTTGTAATAATTATTCTTCAAAAACTGGACATAAACGCAATAAAATTATAAATTTCATAAATGGCAGTTTATCACGCTATATGAATTCGCTTGTTATAATGAAAGTGCATTGTATGATTTTATTAAAACTAATCAAATAAATGGCGAAAAAGTTAAAGTGGGCATTTTTTTGCTCTTTTCTCATACCCAAAATGCAACCTTTTTACAGGGTGTGGGTGAACATTTACATAATTGTGCCATATATTGAGGCAATATTTTCATTGAGAAAAGAAAACGCTATAAGTTTACGTTATTGGCAAGCGTTATTCACAGCTTCATCTATGCATTACTGTCTATTTTCTAATAATGCGTGTGTTATTGTTAGCGCTTCGATATCTCGCATATCTGAGGCGCCCTAATGTACGTACATACATTTATTACAACGTTCGTATGTGCACCATGTTCGTATGAAGGTGATGCATATCTTTGAAAACTCTTCGTTGTATTTTGTTTGAGAAATCAAAGTAAACCGTTACACAGGTTTCTAATAAGATGTAGCTGTTTAGCTCATCTGCTATGAAACTGATGTCAATTGTTGAACTCAACAATTACGTCTTAGAAATGGCTTGATGAATATGCTGCCAAATGAACAGCTGATAAATGTAAACAAATGAAATTGCCATACATAAATAGAGATAGTTGCGTCGATAGTATTTAGAATTCAATGCTGAGCTGCCGCCGTATTAAAAAAATCTTTCAATGCTATAGTGAATTAAACAGTGTATAATTATATAGTAAACATCTTAAAAAACATATATTTAGAAACGTAGTATTATATAAAATATTTTAGTTACTTTATCACATCAGTAATTAAAAATAGAATTTGTTTGCAACTGCCACATAACAAAGCGGCGTTAAATTTAATAGAAGCGGCTTAATAGGGCTTTCCCACGAGGCGATTTTTCAGGCAACTTTTAGTTGAAAGCAAAAATCGCCTCGTCCAAACGGCCTTTCAACTAATCGCTTCCAACAAAGTTGGTCGCCAGCCAACTTTGAGCTCGTTCAACATTTTTTCCTTGCAACCCTGCGTTTGTTTACATTCTGTATACATACCACCATTTTGAAATTGTTTTCGGGCGAGTGGCATGGTAAAACTTGGGGTAAAAAAGCACTTTTACCAACGCTTGGCTTACCAAATTTACGCCAATTGATAAAATTTTGCGATTTAAATTCATTTTAAATAAACTGAATAACAATTCGTGTTGAATCGGAAATCGCCTCGTCTGAATAGGGATGGAAACTTTTTCACTTTCAACTACTCATTCAACTTCGCATTCAACTTTTGTTGCCTGTAAAATCGCCTCGTGCGAATGCTCTATAAGTCTCTTCGATCAGCTGTTTAGGCTAAGCCCTATACGCTGAGTTCCGCTGGAAAAAATGGCGTGTCAGCCAACTCGATCTACCTTATGGGATCTGCGTGTTGACAAAAACTCACCACCGCATGACCGTGATGTAGACGTTGCTTCTCTCTCTTTCTATCAACAGCATACTTGGTATCTTTCTACGTACTTCTACGCTACGCTACGTACATGTTCGTGGGTAACCGCGCTCTAAGACAAATAGCCAACGGTTAGGCAACAGCTACGTCTTATGAACGCGCCTATTGCTTGAATGATTAAAGTTTAATATTTTTGGCAGGTCAAACGCAGAATCAATGCGTATTTAACAAGATGGTGTTAGCCGTATATAAGTAAAAAATTACACAAAAAAATTATACGCATATATCCATACTGTCATTGGTATGAGTTACAACAATCAAATCATTTTGAGGTAATGCTCTCCACGGCGAAGAACTCAGCTGTCGCGCCAACACCACCTTATTAATTACACCTTGCCCAGACTGCTAGCTGACATCTTGATAAAACATCCCCGTATGTCCATACATAAGCTTTGGATTTCAGTACAAGTTGAGTGGCGAAAATTCTATTATAGAACCATTAACGAAAGGTTTCATGCGAGAAACTTAGCTGGTTGTTTTAATGACAGCTGAAGAGATAACTTTTCAAGGAAATCTACATTTTTTATGCGGTTACATCACCTTTCTGCTACTGCATCAACAACACAAAGCCACAACGGCGTAATTAATCTCATCATATTTAGATTTTAAATAAAATTTAAATTAAGATGAGCTTATATTTTCGGTTGTCATGGATCTTTAGAGATTTAAAGTTTTATTACTTAAATGATTAATATAATTTAATAACTAACACGCGGGCGTACAAATCGCAACAAACTTGTTTGACACAAGGCGAATCTATACAAGGTGGTGTTACTAGCGAATTTAGATTATCGCCGCGGTCCTTCTGACAGCGTTCCCGTAACAGCCTCGTAAATTACGATTTTTGCACAGTTTAAAACTTTACGAGTTTAAGGGAATCCCCTAATTGTATAATTTCTGCGATGAACGGTCTAAACCTGCGATATATTTCTTACGCTTCGTATGCGAGCGCACATAGCAGGTATTGACGTGCAGTGAGTAATACGCAGTGGCGATTGCTTTTCGCATAGCATTTCTCTTTCGTATCGCTATACAGAGTAGCCCCCATGATCTTTCCATCACAGAGGAGGCCTTTTCCTTTCTCTGTTACTATCATCGCGACTCTCGGGGAAAATTTTTAGAGTTGGAACGTTGCTTCCCATTAAAGGCCCTACACACGCATTGATCTATCGGCCAACTAGTTGACCAACCTACTTACCGAAATTCCCTACAAACGCACCACCTGTTGGCCGATTCCATTTGAGTGAGTTTTTGAACTGTGAACAACACAACAGCAGTGGTAAACTTTTAAGCTATGCTAGGAATGCTTCCCATTTGTATTGCTAACGCCCCCGTTTTCACAAATTATACGCATTTTTACTTGCGAAAGAAACCGAAAAAGACATATTAACGTTAATGCGCCTTTAAAAAATGAAATCGCATTTTAGGTTGCCAACTTGACTACACACAGAGCAACAAGTTGACCAATCTGCCTCAAAAATCATAAATTTTTGATTTTACTCCAACCTGACGAACAACTTGACGAAGGTTTGCCAACTTACCTACATACGGCTTATTTACCACCAACTTCCAGCGGTTGGCCAACTGGTTGGCCGATAAATCAATGCGTGTGTGTAGGGCCTTTTAGTACGACTTGGCCGTTGTGTTTTAATCAGTCGCACTTTGTCTGTATCGTTTTAAAGCTTAAGCAGCTCATCGCGGAATTCACCTTCGCTAACGCGCAAAGGCCGTAAATCTTCCATAGAATCTTTCCCTCGAATCCTTATCAGCTGCTTTCATTGTCTATGCTTCCGTAAAACACACCAGCACGGGCACGATGAGTGAATTATGGAGTGTGATCTAAGTACGACGCATATAAGAACAAAGTGACTAATTACGACGCAAAAAAAAAAGGAAAATTAAATTTTTTAAACCTTATCACACATACCTTAAAAACACTCTTTATATACCAGTCCACAATGAAACATAGAAATTTTGACTTTTAACGCAACACAGTAGCTTTAGCACACGCGCAAAGTTGGCTTTTCTTTCGTGCGTAGAATTAATTTTTTTTT